CTCCCGTTTGGGGGTGTTAGGGTTCCGTCGGGTTCCTGCCCCGCCCGCGGCCTACTCCGCCCTTTTGCTCTATGGTCACAGCCGCCCCTTTGAGCTCAGTGTCCTCCTAATTTTCGATAACAGGTTTTTCCTTTTCCCAACGTCAGGCACAGTGTTCCCTGCACCTGAGTGGAAAGATCCAAGTGCCCCCGCACATGCAGTGCTGTTTCCCGCAAAGCTGACACCCTTGTTCTCTACCGCAGTTTAACGGGGGCACCAGCAGGTGGCAGCACGAGGCCGGTCCCAGGTCCTGCGCGGTGGGAACCTGAACACCTTTTCCATGATGTTTGCAACAGAATGAGTTTTCATATATTCGCACCTGTTGAACTGAGATTTTTTAGCCAACACCATTGGATTTTAGGCGAGAAAATTGTACACCATGGAATAGCTAAATGTGTTATTTTGGGAGTTCTTTATTAGATTGCCTTTAAAAAGTTACTTTAAAATGTGCTTGTGAAAAATCCATAATCATGGGTAATAAAAGCTTTAGAGATAAAACCCAACAATTTAATACCTCATTTCCACTTTATTTTTTCAATATTCTATCAGTGCAGCCCTAGCTGGTGTGGCTCAGTGGATAGAGTGTTGGTCTGTGGACTGAAGGGTCTCGGGTTCGATTCAGGTCAAAGGCACACAGGCCTGGATTGCAGGCTTGATCCCCAGTAGGGGGCGTGCAGGAGGCAGCCAGTGCATGATTCTCTCTCATCATTGATGTTCCTCCCTCCCTTCCTCCCTGAAATCAGTAAAAACATGTTGTCAGTGCATCTCTACCCTTGTGCTCACAGAGGAGTTTGACTGCATGGCCACACTGCCCTGTGCCGATTTGGTGGGATTCATGTTCTGCCTGTCTGATCTGAGCCTCTCCAGGGCATTAGTCTGTGTTATCTGCGGAAACGATTGCAATGTGAATGAACTGATGAGCCTGTCCAGACAGCTCATTTAGTAACTAGTGATGAAAATGTGTGGTGTTGTCTATCCTATATAATAAGAGCCTAATATGCAAATTGTCCCCTCGACTGGGAGTTCGACTGCTCGCTATGATGTGCGCTGACCACCAGGGGGCGGCATGGAACATGGTGGGCGTCGGCGACGCAGGGCTAGCAGTGGCGGTGCTGCCAGTCCTGGTGGGCCGCGATGAGAGCGGAACTGCGGCAGGATGGTGGAGCAGATGGGCAGGCAGCACCAGGCCAAGGCAGATGCGAGCGGGGCCCAATCGCCCCACCGATTGCCCCGCAGATAGCGATCAGTGGCAGTGGAAGCAGGGGGCCCGGCCCCGACCCATCGCCCCACAGGCGGGATGGTGGAGCAGGTGAAGGGGCAGCACCAGGCCAAGGCGAGGTGCCAGGCGGGACTGCAGGATTGCGGGGTTGCAAAGCTGGAGGAAG